GTTAAATTACCAGAGGCTAGTTTTGTTGTGGGGCATCCAGCATCCAGGCGTAGGAAGCGCATGGCTCATTGAGGGCCCAGCAATTTGCACTGGCACTTGCACATCAGCCTTCATTGCAGCCGTAGGCTTGTAGGTGAACGTGATCCTCAGCGCAGCGCACCAAAAAAGAAGACAACTCGTCCAAAGATGGGAACACCAAAATCATCATCCGATTTGGATACATTTGGATTCGGATAACTATATGATATATACAGACGTATGATATATATATATATATAGATAGATAGATATTTTATGTTATATATATATATAACTGTGTGTGTGTGTGTCTGTGTGCGTGCGCGCGCATCATGTTTTTTTAATGTTTTTAAGGTGGAAAGTGGAAACCAACGGTTTCGGGGTGCCCCATGGTGCTCCAGCTGGCCAGCCCAGGTGCTGCTTCTTCATCCCAGGTAGCACGTGACCCAGGGAGGGGGAGATCCTTGGCGGCCAACTCTACGAATGCATCCGCCATAGAAATAGTGGATTTACCCATAGAAATAGTGGATTTACCCATTGAAAATAGTGGATTTACCCATTGAAAATGGTGGATTTACCCATTGAAAATGGTGATTTTCCATAGTTATGTTAATTTACCAGAGGGTATCCATAACTATTCATCTGGGCAAATTACTATGTGGTTGGTGGTTTTAACCATCTTGAAAAATATATAAGTCAATGGGAAGGATTATTCCATATTATTCCACATGTGATGGAAAATATTCCACATGTTTGAAATTTGAAACCACCAATCAGTAATTCTCAGTTAATCAAATGTAGATAGTTCTGGCGCTTATGAAATCGTACTTCGAAATTCAGCTGACTTCTCTTATGGATCTTATGGCATTCTATGCTTTCAGCGTATGTCGCCCTTTCGCATCTTCCTTCGCCCTTTCGCGTGGTGACGGTGACACCGAGCTGCTCCACGCCCTCCAGTGGAGCCGGCAGCGTCTCGGGGAATTGAAAGCGTAGCATCTTCTGCGTGGCGTTGCTGATGTGGAACGTAGCCACCTGCGGCCGGGGGACACCGGTGTCCCAACAAGGGGACACCGAAATCCCAGGTTAAGATTAGTTAAGGCGAAAAACAAACTGCACCTTGCACCCCCAACAGTTTGCAACCTGGAAACCACCCAGCTATAGTTCAAGTCTCTACTTGGTGGCTCATCCCACTTAGTAAATGGGTTCTAACCCCAGTAATAAGTGGATTAACCCTACTTATCCCATTTATAACTGGGGTTATAACCCACTTACTAAGTGGGATGAGCCACCAAGTACCTGTTACTTATCGTGGCTATCTGAACTCCCAAAATAAAGTGGGAGGATGACCCAGGATGACCCTCCAAATATGGTTCAACTCCTCGACTGTGGCACCAAGCGCTCCGAATGCTGGCCACCCCGTGCCTTCGAATTTCCAATACCTTAGATCGTCATAGATCGTCCCACTCTGACGCTGAAAGTTGATCTAAGCTGATAATATCATATTATATATATCGACAAATGGTTTCGAAGCACCCAGCTCAAAATCTCCAAAAAAAGTTAACATAAAAGTTAACATAAAACAACTAAGACATACTAAGACCACAAGTGCCAGTCATTGCCAGTCTCCTGAAAAAACCCTGTACTTCATCATACTTCATCCCATCCCCACATCCAACATCCATCCAATCTATGGCCCCAGATGGCGCTCACCATCCAATCGCTACGGCAACAAGGTGCAAACCTCGCCCAAATTCAAGATGCCCTCCTCGTCCCCTACGACTTCAGGCAGTTCCCAGGCCACCTCCTCCACATATCCGTGACCCACGAAAGTCACCCGGGTGTCCTGCGCGTCTGCGCATCGCTGAGAAATTCTGAAGCCAGCTTTTTGCACACAGCTGTTGCTTCACAGCGAGAAACCCGCTCAACGGCTGGTCCTCATAGGGGTTCTGCATCGTCTGCAGCCGGAGGGAGGCAGTGAGATCTCCCCTCCTCGGCAAGGCCCTCCAGTGATGGTTGCTTTAAATACCATGAACTAGTTATATAAGTATAAGGTATATCTGGTTCCCCTAAGCAACCCAAACTTTAGCCAATTTTATAAGTCACTTTGTAGATAGCTATATATCCAATTTGGGCCCATCATTTTCTGTGTCTACAGCTCGGGTTTTGTCACGTTGATGTGTGGGCAGTTTTTTTCGGGGGCAGGTATGTCCCAATCAAAAACCAGAGCGGGTTCCCTCCTAAAGGTCCTAAAAACATCATCAACTCCTGGATTTTGGGATGTCTCAGTTTTGGCAACGAGCAGTAACGACATGTAACGACCACAGGACGTTCTTCGTCGGTTCTTTTTTATGCCTAGCATGCCCCAAAGGACGTGCTACGTTCATGTTCCAATGGGCCCACAGAAAATAGGCATTCATTTTGAGGGGTTGCAGCCAGCCAACTCCATGGGGCAAAAGAGCACCTGGAACTTCTGCGAAGCCTTGCGATGGGCGTGACACTACTTTTTTTCGGGGCTCTGAAAATCGGGTGCCCCGAAAGAACTTGGTTGATCATCTTCCCTGCGTTGTCCTTTAACAAAAACATATATCGTTTACAGTTTACACACCATTTTTGGACAAAGCAACAGATACATTGGCACGGGTGCCCGAAGGATCGCATCCAGTTGTCCCTAGTGGCAATGAATTGAGGTAACCGAAGGTAACCCCCCAAGGCTACCCCCAATTCATACTTTTCGACAGCAAAAGACGAGCACCACCTCCCTATTCATCATCTCCCAAATAGTGATCAGTTATGACAAGTTCTCATTCAAATTCATTCAACCTGCGCAAGGCGTTGTGAAAAATCACTGGGTTCTCTTGAAACGTCTTGGGTTGATCCATGTTGACCGCCTTTGGCTCCAGTGTAGTCCTCCTCGGACAGCTCAAGCTGAAGCTGCTCTTGGCCGTCAGCTCGAAGCGGGCGGTCGCAGGCACTTCGCCCTGGTTGTAGAGGGTGAATTCCACCAGGTGCCGCTTCCCCACGCGACCCTTGCCGAAGTCATACCTTGACGCTTGTGGTTGATATATGTTGATATTGGTTGATGCTGATGGGTGAAGTTGCTTGGGGTGGGACAAAAAAAAACTCAGTTGAAGCTTTGGGGCGACAAGTGGATCAGCATGGATCAGCCACATTCAGCTGGAAAGTGGAACGTTGAGTGAAAATGCTGTAATTTACCCTCTGGTAAATTAACATAGACCCTGGCAGTCATCGGGGTTGGAAGATTAGTTTCCTCTAACAATTGGTGATTTTCAGGGTCTATGTTTATTTACCAGAGGGTAGCTGTAGATAAAGGTCGGATTCATCGAACTAGATGGGCTCGGAACGAGCCGAATGATCCGAATTTGCCATGGCCAGGTCACGCCGGTCCAGCCCTTTTTTCGCCCAATTTTTGTCGAAGAACACTGCCGGGATCTGCAAAAAAATGCTTGGCCATAATACCCTCTGGTAAACTAACATAGCTATGGAAAATCACCATTTTTAATGGGTAAATCAACTATTTCTATGGCCATTTCCAATAGCGACGTTAAATTACCAGAGGGTACATCATAATACGATATCATCGGCCCCTGCAATTGATCGTTGTTGTTTCTTTTTTTTGTTTCTTCATCCAGGCCGCTGTCCCCCATTGTCACCAAAGACCGTAGGACCACTGAGGGCTATGGAGGGCATGGCACCATCTCCTCGCAGCCTGAGACCGGTCGGCTCCCATCCTCAAAGATGGAGCTTCTAATGGGAAATACTCTGGTAATGGATGTTCTATTTGGAAAACCCATGGGAACAAATAGTTCCAATTTAGATCTTACTAATGGGGAAACAAATACTTCTTAAGGTATAAAATGGACTATATAAATAAAATGCTATAAATATTGGGAATTTGACAAAAAAAATGGAGTGAGCTGCCGGGCAATCTGGATCCTCAGCCCCTGCCAAACCCTCACAGGTAAGGCATCGGAATCACTGACGGCGCAGCTAAGGCGCTCGAACTTCAAACTGTTGGTTTTCGGGTCCTGGTGACGGCTGCAACACTTTCTTTTGGCACTGCTTTTGGGAAATCCCTTTTGAGGACCATATTCGAGGGGAATAGATGGGATATCATGGGATTGTCCCTAAAAAAAGATCCAAGCCGGTTGAAGAGTTTCTTTGGGAACCTGGCAGTGTGAGTCATGGCAAATTCATGCAAATTCAGACTGCAAAAGATGCAGCTTTAAGGAGCAGTTTAGTCCAGTTTTGGGTCGAACTGCAGTCTCCAATCCCCATCTTGGTGGATTCGATGGGATAGCAGGTCGAATCCAAATCCCTCCGCTGATTACTGCGGCAAATCATTGAAGGTTCCAATGTGTCTGCCTCCCTGACCGGGGTTTGCGCAAGCATAGGGGGTTCTATCAGTTCTATCTACGCCACTCTGTGTCAACTACCCAAGGAGGAATGACTGATTGGCCATGGGAAAGCACCGGATTTTCGGGGGACCATCTGAGACAAGACATGACACGAGCCATGTCGTTCCCACATTTTTTTGGGCCTTGCCCTCTGGCACCGTGGCTTCAAAGATTGCAGAATATCTCTGTAAGGCCTCGCCGAAAATTTGGAGTTGCTGCCAACCCTCCCAGGTAGCGATACGCAAGCAAGAAACGCGCAAGAAACATCTTGAAACCATATATGAAACAGTAAGCACCACCCCACTTGTCCCATGGAAATTGAAAATTGGAGAGACTTCAAAAAGCCTTGCAAAACGGACTTTGTGGAACAGGAACCATTTGAGCATTTTTGGAACCCTTGCTCCATCTCTATCTTTTTCGTTGCCGTCGTTGGTTCCCCTTCAGGGACAGCAAATCAGAATCCGGATGGTGGTTTCAACGTCAAAACTGTTTCAATGACTTCACTGTCACCCCATGCCAAATATAGCTGCAATTCGGGGATCATCTTTGTCCAAGATTTTTCAAAACGTCCAAACAGTTGAGACCACCAAGCAGAGTGGACATTCGGCCCACCAAGCATATCTGAACATGCCCCATCAAGCCGACGGAAGGCACGTTTCACATGCCAAATGGCCAAAAATCTGCGGGAGATCATGGCGAAAACCATGGCCGGGCTGCCCCATCAAGCCGATAGGAACCCGTGCGACCCTGCAGTATGATGGTGCAAATATGGAAATTGATAGGGCCTGGCCATGTCAAATAGGGGATATAGGGGCATTACATCCATTGAATTCTATTGGCCCTATGAAATTTTGAAACGGTTCTGTTGGGTGGTTTACACATGACAGGCGCATATCACTACATCTCCAGTGGCACTGTTTTTTCGTAGGGTTGCGGCCAATCATTCACTGGCTTTGACTGGAGAGCGCATCATGCCAAACTCGTCCTCATGAACTTCAGGATCTTTTTTGCATTTCAAGGTGTACTGCTCCATAGTTTTGTAACCAAACCTGTGGGGTTGAAAACCAACAGGGGCCTAGGATGGGGCCTTGGAAAAAAATGTCCCCAAAAAGATTCCCCAAATATCCCAAATGATGGCAATTCCGGAAAAGACGTCTGAACAAACATGAAATAAAACATGACGTAAAACATGACTCAGCCATGGCACCGTTCATAGATGGCCACATTGCGGGCACCACTGGTTTCCAACCACAGAGGCAGCTGAAGATTATCTGCCCACACGTTCACCGCACGCATCAGTTTGCCACAGAATCCAAGGCCCTGAGCGTCGGGGTCCACCGACATGTTCCGGACATGCGCATGAGGACCGCTGCAATGCCTGATGGGTTGATTTTTTTCGACAGCAAGCTGAAGTTAAATCAAAGAGTTAAAGTGCCTATAAAATCATCAAAAATGGGAAAAAAGAAGAAGAAAAACAAGTTGAAAGACTTTAAACCCTCATCAACCCACCATGTTCCTTAAAAAAGGATCGTCTTCCCACCTCTGCTTCACCTTTTCGATGATGTCCATGGCTGCAAAGGCTCTAGCCCTTATTCCCCTGGAGGCATCCCCCATCTGCTTCCTGGGTGGCATCCCACAGGGCTTGATGGCCCTCCAAAGCTCCCCCATCGACGCCAGGTCGGAGGGGATGCCCTTCTCATAGGGCAGCACCACCACCACGGCACCCAGGCTGCCATCCTCCTTCCGGGCGCCCAGGGCGAAACCACCACGGGCCAGGCAGCAGGACCATTCCACCTGGGAGGCTGACACTTTCAACTGATAAATGTTTTAAACAGAAACGTCAAACATGTGAAAAACATTGGGAAACAAACAAACAAACGCCAGGTGACATCCACATCACTATCTTCTGTCACTCAACAAAAGTTGTTCCCAGTTTCTTCAATACATTCGTTCAGTGGACTCAACATGTTTTTTCCCAGGCGAAACCTTCCTCACAATTTCTCCTGACTCAACATCAGCCTTCGCTGTCTGTCAGAGTCTGTCATTCAAAGAAAAATTATCCATTGGTCCATAATTATATAATTTATCACTTATCATCATTTATCATCATTTATCTATGCGTTTTGTTTTCAGGTATCTCAAGCCTGGATTTCCCCTTCCTTTTTCGCCTTTCTGAAACATCTGAAACCCTGCCTTCATCATCCAATCCAGCATGGCTCTTCTCCGTGGGTCGTCCCATTTCTCCCGCAACGTGGGTCCCAGGATCCAGTCCGTGGTCCCCTCCGGCGCCGTGCTGGCCGTGCCCCCAAAGGAGCGCGACATGACGCCCCAGGCCTCCACGTTGTCAGCGATGGATTTGCCTCGGCGCCATGTGGTGCTTGGGATGGGCGTTTTGGGTGGAATTGATGGTTTTGGATGGTTTTGGGTATTGTTATTACTATTTTCTTATGATTTTTAGCATTGTGATGTTTTTTTTGTTTTCCTGCTGTGATTGTGATTATTGTTACTGTGTTGCTGTTATGATTGTTGGTGTGCTTGCTGTTCTTATGATTATTTTCAGTATTTGTTGTTGCTATGATGTTTGTTATTGCTATGGTTCTTCTTAACAAATTGTCACTGCTATCGTTCTTGTTGCTGTTATCACTACTATCTGTTGGCCCAGCAAAGTTGTGCTGAACACTGATTCCCAGTGATTCTAGAGGCCCTGCGCCATGAAAGGGAGAAGCGCCATGATGGCCGACGTTTCTTTGCGACCTTTGAGGGTACATGAACCAATAATCGTTGATTGGTTGATCCTTCGTCCTATTTTCATCATCTAAGAAAAAGTATACGTTACATATAGATCATCTGGGATCATATAGGTTTCTTCATGGCTAAATCCAATGGTTCTTGCTTAAAATCCCGATGTTTGACATTGTTTGACCATTAAATCACAAGGTTGGATGGGTTGAAGTTGAACATGGTTGAACCCTGGGTTTGGATCATTATGATCATTAAATCACAAGTTTCCAGACTGAAATCCCGAATTGTTGGATGGTTTCAACCGTTCAACCCAAATTCTATGATGTTTATGGCTGAATCCACATCTTTGCTCAGGTGATCTAAGATATCTAAGGTGTATCCTCACTTTTTCCATGGCTTCAACCTGGACCCCCCATGTTTCACGTTTCGAAGATCGCCACGTCACTGGCCACTTCCTTCTTCTGCCCCAGCAGCTGCTCGATGCCCTGTGGCACCTCCAATGTTCCGATCACCGGAGATGAGCCACAGCAACCCATGGCGATTGGCGAAGCGATTGGCGAAGCGGGTGGAAGGGCTGGCTGTGGAAACGGCTGGAGTTGGATTGGCGAAGGATGGCAATGGCACTCAACTAGTTCTGGTTGGTGGTTGAGCCACCTACCCCTCTGAAAAATATGAGTTCGTCAGTTGGGGTTATGACATTCCCAGCTCGTCAGTTGGGGTTCATATACTGTAAACTCTGTAAACTTAACTCTAAGATTAACCCTGGAGAAAGTGAAGTCAACGAGGTAACAACTTCGTAACTTTAGTTTCCCAGTGCTCCCTGGGCCCAGGGACCCTGGGGACCCTGGGTTTGCTGCGCCGGCGGCGCCTGTGGGCTGAAACGCACCTTGATATAGCGATACTCATGGGCCGGGATGTGAAGCTCCTGAGCAACACAGCTGAGGCAGCTGTGTAGATGCTAAAGTTTCTGCTAAAGGCAGTGGAACAAGATGGAACAAGGCGATGCTTGCCTTGAAGCTTCAGGATGCTGCAGGATGCTTCATGATGCTTCAGGATCTTGATGATTGTTGTGCTGTGAGATCATTGAATATCACTGATTTTTGCTCTATCACGCCATCTATCATGTGCTTGGAATACTCCGTTCGTAGCTGTCGTAGCTGTTGCAGCTCCAACTGGCACTCCGTTTCGGAATCTTCGTGGCCCCGTGGAATCACCATGTCCCGGCCAGGCCAGTCCTTGCTGGAAAGCTCGAAAGGCAGCACTGGCACCTCCTTTCCCGTAGGCGCCACAGTGGGTTTGATCTCAAACCTTGTGCCCGGCGCTGGCACTTCAGAAATTTCGGTGACTGGGATCTCACTTAAAGATGTTTCACACAGACATACGATAAGATTGAAAAATACCCTGGGATGTTGAGAATACGTTGAGATACAGTCTCCACATCTATTCAATTCGATTCATTTTACGTCTACGATGTTTTTTCATGTTTTTTCTTTGGTTCTTTGGTGCAGCTGTTCTCATTGCTGACGGGATGCTTCACGTCACACGCAATGGGATTCCTTGGCGGCCGTGGAAAAGTTGGATGTTGCACCTGGAGGCACCTGAATGCACCTGGTAAAATGAACAGAACTGGTTGGGAAAATCAGTAAATCATCTGGTTGGTGGTTGAGCCACCTACCCCTCTGAAAAATAATGGAGTTAGTAACAGTTAGTCAGTTGGGGTTATGACATTCCCAAGATATGGAAAGTCATAAAATTCATGTTCCAAACCACCAACCAGTCATGGTAAATCAACTATTTCTATGACCATGTTCAACAGCTATGTTCGTTGATCAGAGGGTAACCACGGATTTCTTGATAACACAAACAGGTTTATTCATATCCAACAGCGATGCAGCGACAAACACAATCACGTATGTTGAATCTTGGACACCCTCAACATATCAGATAAACTGGGAGTTGGTACTTCGTGGCTCATCCCAGGTAGTAAGTGGGTTATAACCACACCTGTAACTGGACTAACCCTGCTTGGTCTACTTATAACTGGAAATATAACCCAGCTATGCATTGGGGTGAGCCACCAAGTATCACCAACGATAACGATTCATCAACCATAGGAAAAGAGGTAAATCATCGAACAAAATGGGCCAGTTCTCATCATATAACATTGATTTCTCATCATATATATCTCCATCATCTCCCAAAAAAAAAACGACCAATCATCAGCCGTGTTACATAAATCATCATAAATCGACAAACCCAAGCGGCCCAAGCGGCCCAACCATCCCAAAAAGTGGATCCAGGTGGATCCTAATCGCCCGAACCACCATCCACCAGGGCTCGGATTGGTGATGCGAAAGCGGGCAGGCTCCGGTGTCTCGGGGGAGCCTGAATCGAGAGCGATGGTTGACCCATTTGAAACGGGTGAATGATGGTTTTTCAATGTTTTTCATGGGATTTTTTGCTGGGGATATATGATGAGAAATATGTCCGTATTTTTTTGTTTGATCATGTTCCGATTGAATGATTGGAAATGGTTGATGGATGGTCAGGGCTATTGTTGGTGATACTTGTTTGGCTCATCTCGACGAGAAAGTGGGTTATAACCCAAGTTGCAAGTAGACCAAGTAGGGTGACCCGACCCTACTTAACCCACTTGGGATGAAACAGATTTTTGCAGCCCCAGCTTCTGAAGTCTGGGAATATTCAGGTAAAACGCCACTGAACATTTATCATTATCATCACTTCATGCCAAAAATTGCCAAAATATGAAAATCAACAGCAAATATCAGGCCACTTGATCTTTTGGGGCCATTTCTCCATATTTCTCCTGGCCTCCAGGCTCCAACCATTCCACCCCAATCCACTGCCTTGATGCAAGGCCGGCACGGGTCCGAAGGAGAAGTATCTCGCTTCTTCGTCAAAGGCGCGAATCCCCGAGCGTCCCGCAAAGGCCTTAAACAACTCACACGGGTCGCACGGCGGGGGTGGCTAAAGAAGGGAGCTTCCAGCTGCTTTTCTTTCCCACACACATATTATAATTTATAACTATATTATATATATACATATATTAAATATATATATATATTATACACAATATACTATTCATGTTTCCAATGATTCCAGGCTTCTCAGTAAACTTCAACAACATGTGGAACAGCCTGGAATTTTTTTGGTGCAGTTTCCACGGTGCCAGTCATTTCAAATCCTGTGGTGTTTGAGGTCGTCGCGATAGCATCGTCCAGAGTAGGAGCCACATAGTGTTCTTCAAAGATGGAGTGGACATTAGCTGCATCAATTCCTGCAGGAAACCAACAAAAAAAATAACTTCTGGTTGGTGGTTTCAACCTACCCCGCTGAAAAATATGAGTTTGTCAGTTGGGATGATGAACTTCCCAACTGAATGAAAAAATAAAATTCATTAAAATTCATGTTCCAAACCACCAACCAGACTTGGCATTCAAAACGTCAGACGTAGTGCTAGCAACTGGACATCTGCACTTAGCACTGCACAATACTATTTAATACTGGCTGGATATGGATGTGACATTGTTCACATTATCCACCAATAGACAAGAACCCACATTTCATTTCCAGTAAAGAACTGTCCCCCGAAAACCCCGGAAGAAGGGCCTGGAGTGGCACTTTGGGCTGCTAGGAGGCATTCTTTGTATAACGTATCCCCTTCCTTGGCGTTGCGCGATGTCAGGGTGCTCTCTCCCTCTCTCTCGCTCTGTGGGGTTTTCCAAAAATGTGGTACCTCCCAAGCCGCTAGTTAATAATATGTTCCATCAATCGACGTACTGCTTGTGGATATGTTCCCCCTATATCACCATAATTTTCCCCTATAATATCCTTAACAATATGGACTTGGTTTGGTGATCAGGTGCTATTAAATGGAAACTCCCAAATTCAACAGCCCAGGTTCTTATTGAACCTAAGGCTGACATTGACCATCATTTTCTGTATGAAAACGGGTAATTTCCGGGACACACACTGTGGCACACACACACACACATCGCAAATTGATCATATGTTCATGCCTCCTTCCATCCCCCAAAACTAATCATATCATTATTATAGAATAATATTATACAATATGTTACAACAATATTATACATATAATTAAAAATGTTATCTAGTGATACTGCATATATATATAATATATATATATATATAATGTTATAATATTATATAATTATATATACGTAAATATGCACGATAGGCAATAGGTATACAATTATAAAAGAAATACATCATACACCCGAAAAATCAGAGACAAGCCGACTCTTCTGTTCCTGGCGAGTTCTTTGTTTTTTGGTTTTGCCGGGGCCCTGGCCCCTTCTCCACGTTGAATTCCTGCATCACTTCCATCCTCTGGAAGACCGGGCACGTGGATGCCCAGCTTGTGTTGCCCTCAGGATCTGGCCAACTGGCTGTCGACTGGGGCATCCCATCGTCCCATCGCTTCATGCCATTTCATGCCCAATTTTGGTCCTGAAATGTCCTGAAATTGTTATAAAATCTTGGAAAAAGATTTGGTTTCATGGCCTACATCCAACCAGAATGGGGAAGGGATTAAGATGGATTAAGCACCTTGGAGTTCACATATTTCACCGCAGAGTGGAGTAATGAGTAGTGAATCGTTCAATTCTTGTCATCCTCTGATTAACCTATTCCTCAATCCGAATTTAAGTGGGAGTAGTCGGAGTAGTAGCTGAGTTTCATCATATGGGAAATACCATCCTCACTTTCAGGGTGCCGTCCAGCTCCATCCATCTACCAAGACTTGATACATCAAGTCTACCATAAACCACAGGGAGAAACTACGGCTGCAGACCAGGGCTGTGGCAATTTTTCGGCTCCGTGGCCGCAAAGGTTCCCACAATCTTCGCAATTGCTTGCGGTTCCAGGCTGCCTGAAGGAAAGCCAGGGATGACGGAACAAACCATCATAAAACATAAATCATAGTTTCATATATTCATTTACAATCATCTAGATATATCTGCAGAATGATTCAGACTCATGCTAAATCATGCTAAGTCCATCTAAAATACCCACAGAGAGAGAGATATATATATATATGTGTATAATATATACCAACAATGGCTACAGCACGGCACAGCAAGAATTGAACAAATATCGTTGCGCACATCCCGGACAAGGACCCAGCCCTTGCAAAAGTTCCCACTGAGCCACCGAATCGTCGCGAGTCCATCCACAATGGATACATCTTACTGGTGCTAAACGTAGGGAATGCATGGGTTGCTGGGATGATTATTACTAGTGATGAAATGGATCATTCACGAAAATTCCCTGCGTTTAGCACCAGTAAGACATCACTAGTCACTAGCAGAGTTCATGCAACGGTGGCGGCAACGGTGGCAGAAGGCCCCGCTGGTCATGCCATGACTTCATCTCACTGCGGAGGCTCCTAAGCGCCTCCATGGGCGGCTCGGCCCGGTGACGTAGAAGGGGATGGCTTCAAGGTGGGAACCTGTTGGAGTCGACCCAGGACCAAAGTTTGGTCCTGGGTCTGGGCCAATAGGTTCCCAGCCCTGCCCGTTTTACTTGTTCGCTTAGGCATTTTTGGGGACTTTGACCTATTCGAGTTCGAGCCTTCGAATTCGAAGGGGCCAAGTCGCCGAAAATGCCTAAGCGAACCACTTGCATCAAGGCGGCGTAGGCCGGTGTTGGCTCCTCCCCAATTTCCAGGTTGTAGGCTCAGGTTGCTGCTAGAAACAAACGCCATCGTGTCTTTCAATGCCGAAATGATTGGTAGTAAGCGAGGTCATAATGGTCATATTATTGAGGTCTCCCCCCCGCAATGTGTACACAGCTCGCAGCCAGGACATTGCACTGAAGATGGACATCCAAGGCTTCTCCAGCTTGGCAGAGTCAAGGGCGTGGCGCACAATGGTCACCCACCGTAGGCAGTTGTTGCACCAGATCATCCAAGGATGGGATCCCAGGATAATCCAGAGCGGTGGTACTTCAAATTTACGCCACGAGCAGCCACACTGTAGTGTGGCTGCTCGTGGCGTAAGGTGAAGGAAACGTGGCACAGCAAGGGCAGCATCAGAAGACTCAAGAAAACCTCGCATTCGGTTGGCAGTCTTGTTTGCATCCACGGAACCCGCACCAACGCTGCAACCATGTGCGAGTGGAAACACCCTCATTGGTGTCGGTCAACGTCGCCAGTAGTTCCGGGTTGCACACATCACTTGCAAATATGCCAGGTATATACTTTAGACTGGCTTGCACTTCTGGCATCTTCTGGCGGTGTGAAAAAAACATTGGAGCAGTTTGATGTATTCTTTGCTGCCTTCAAAAGCAAATAGCTGAGCACCTTCGTGATTGAAAAATTATCCTTGGTCCAGGATCACCCCAAGCTGTTCCCAAATGTGGGCAAGTCTTGTTTTCCACCTGGCTTGTGGCAATTTCTCTAAGCATTCGACTGCGGCTGGGCCCTCAGCTTCTGCCTTGATGAGTTGCTTTTTGCCACCCCATTGAGTGGTTTTTGCTTTTGAATTTGTGGATGTCTGTCTGGGCTTGAAGCAGCGCAGCAACTGTTGATTGGTTGTGGTGGTTGTGATCGGCCGCGGCATAGAGCGCTGCTCAAGTGCTGTGATGACTTTGATGAGATGGCCCCGCAGATGCAGAGAATCTTCACTGCATTTGGGGGCCATCCTCACTTGACTTCCACTTACCATCTAGTTCTTCCATGGCAGCGATGTGATTTAGGAAGAGATCCAACCTGCAGTTAGCACTACTGGCTGGTGGTTGAGCCATCCCGGCTAAATCAAAGTGCAAGCAATTTGAAAGTTCCATGTGCAAGAAGTTGAATGCGAATATGTTATCATCATGTTTAATGGGGCTTTTAAACATATATCATTAATTATATAATATTTTTTTTAGTTTGAAATGTTTCAAGCACCGAAAAAATCCAGCCTGATCCGGGACTAAGTTTGAAGTCCCCCAGAACGAAATCCGGCACTTCCGCCTTGGAAGTGGGTGTTTTTTCTGGGTGCGAAGTGTTCAAAAACCATGCGAAACCATGTTGAAGCACAACTCAAAAGGTCAAGCTCCCGACAAGGTGAAAAGGGATATGTATGGCCCAATGGAATGGATATGGATATGTTATTGATATGTTTCAATGACTTTTAATCGTTTCTAATATCCATCCCGCCGACTACATCGAGGCCGCGGCGGGTTTCTTGGGATCCGGTGTGAAGTCGGGTTTTTTCACTTCGCCCTCAGCATCGAAGAAAAACCAGTCAAACCTCAGTGGTGCCAAGTTAGGGTGCGCTAAAACCCTCCAAATAGGAGCCCTATATAAAAGGGCTCCATCCAACCATCCACAGAAGCCTGCCATTCTCCCAAATCTCGGGGTGCGACTTGAAAGGGCCGTTGTTGCAAATCTCCAGCTCGCGTGTGCCGGATTCTCCCATCCTCAGGTCTCAGTCTCTATCCGACTCTGCGATTGTAAAATGATCAATTGATGCTGCGGCGTTACTACACTGATCCCTAAAAATCACTTTTTGATCACGAACTTCAGGTGTTTTTTTCTGTTTCTCGTGCCTTTAAAAAACAATCCTTCAGCCACTGATCAAGTTAAGTGACTTCACCGGCCCAAAGTCAAGCCCTGTGGGATTCAAGCTCAAGGAGTTGTAGACCTGGGGCTGCAGCTTGCTGTGGATGCCATGGCCCATGAAAGTAGAGTATCTACCTATATTAAAATGCCGCTCTCCCCATGAAACTATTTGTTAGATTAGGAGATTGATGGGTTGTCCCAGTTGTTGATGCTTATCCCAGATATCCACCACAATTTCCCCTACAAATCCCCAGATCTTCCCCTGAAAATGACTGAAACCATCTGAAACCTCTGAAGTGAAGCCAGCGGTCGTCCAGTTCCATGGCCAAGCTGCAGCTCTCAGAATCAAAGGAATCAGAGGAGTTTCTACTTGGACACGTCCACCTGACCGATGAGCCCAGTTGGTGCAAATAACTCCAAGAACCTTGGGTTTTTGGGGGATCTGGTTATAAACCAACTTAGAACTGGGGAAATAAATATTGTATGAGGGATCGATGACCTATGATGAATTGATGAATGCACTTGCGAAAACGAACATAGATGATCATAGATGTGGAAGATCCAGTGTTTGTAGATCACTTTCCTGCGGAAACTATGGGTTTCTACATATATATGCTAGTTTTCCCCAGGGTAAGTGTGAACTGGCTCTTAGGATATGAGAATAATTTAAGAATAAGCATATTAGAATAATGGTTAGTTGGGATGCGAAGCATGAGAAATATATGGAGCGTGTCACACTTTTTCGATACGATCTGGACGAGAAAAGGTCGTTTTGAGATGGTTACCCTACCACCATGAACCAGCGAACTTCGCTTTGTGGTGAAATAGTCATGGTTCATCCTTAAATGTGTGAAAAATGAGTCTAGACAGTCTATGTGACCACGGGGAACATGTAGCAATCATTTTGGATTCCTATGTGATAATCTAGGATAATGTAGGTCCTTTCTGCCACAGTGGGATGCGATGCGATCAACCCAGATCCCATCAACTGGAGTCTGATGATCTGATGTGGCCACAGCTAGCTGGCCACAAGCAGCTCCTAGCTCAAGTGGTTCAACCCTCTGGTTTGTTGTGAGGAATGCTGATCATGTTGATACAGAAATCATCGGGATAACCCCCATATCACCCCGTGGCATAATATGCAAAATATGGAAATCATCGGAATCCCAAACAAACGTGGCCATCTTTGAACGTTGTAGCCATAGCCACTGCTCAAAATTGAGAATATGGGAGAATCCCCGTGGTCCGCGAATCATCTCTTCCCCGGCCCCCAACTGATCAAAGCCTGTCTTGGAATCGTAGACTAAAAGCTCCAGTTCCTTCGTTTTTCCAACCAGCTGGCAATCTGGTTGGTGGTTTTAACCATCTTGAAAAATGATGGAGTTCGTCAATGGGAAGGATTATCCCATATATTATGGAAAATATTCCAAATGTTTGAAACCACCAACCAGCAATTCTTGATCAGCGGCTGTCACAGATCAGTGGGCTTGTCAATCAGCCTAAAGGACTCTTGCAACTGATCTCTTTGTGACACCAATCCCTAAAAATCATCAAAAAATGCGTCTCGGGGGTGCAAGCCAGGGCTTATTAACGAATATATCTATATAGATATCTATAGGATTTTAACTTTTAACTTTTCGACCTCCAAACATTGGGATATATGGTGCTTATTATGGGGCCCCGAAAACCTCCAAAACCATCATATAACATCAGATAACATCATATAACATCATATAACATCATATAACATCATATAACATCATATAGCATCATATAACATCATATAACATCACATCACATCATATAACATCATATAACATCAGATAACATCATATAACATCATATAACATCATATAACATCATATACCCATTAATATAACCAAGAATATAAGCCACACAAATCTCTGGGGAACCACTGCCCTCCACGTGTTTGTTTCGTCACAACGTCCTCGCTGCGACTCTTGCCCTGGCGCTTCGCAACGTCCGGGAACTGCATGGCCAGCAGTGGTGTGGCGGTCGCCTTGATGGGAAGCTTCTGCCCCGGCTGCAGCTCCGGCAGCTTGCCTTCCTGAGGGCTGATGATGGTGGATATGCTTGGATTGTGTTAGATTAAATAGATATGAATATAGACATTGATAGATATTGATGGATATGAATAGTTAGTTTCCTGGTTCAACATGTGAAACCTGACGATATCTCAAGATATCTCAAGGTTTTGAAGCACCTCCATCCCAGAAATCAAACGTCTGATTTAGGAAATCTCCCCTTTGGCTGCCAGGGCACTTCCAACGGAACGCCATAATCGATCTGCAGAAGCTCCCGCACCGACTTACGCCGAATCTGCAGCTCAAAGTTGACGGCATATTTCCTGTGTCTCAGGTCATGGATCAGGTCATGGTCACCTTCTCAAGGCACAACCAGCTGGTCTCACATCTCAGTCACTACATGCACCTGCCCTCCAGTTGGAAGAGTTTGTCAGAAAAATTGTTTGGAAGCCGTTTCGCACCTTGGAAATTGTAGTAAGTAGCCTCTCTGGTAAACTAAGGCAACTAAGGAAATCACCAGTCTATAGGCAAATCATCTACAAACGGGCCATGATTTCCATACAAGTAGCAATCTGGTGAATGCTACATGAAACCACGCGCTGGCCCGCAAAAAAAAAAAAAAAACAGCCCACGAAAGTTGGTGTTTCGCTGGACATCTGGGGGTCCCAGACTCTCCCATCTCTCTGTGGGGATGTTGAAAAGGTGGAACCATGGGGGGCTATACCCATTACATCACCCTGTTAGATGGTTAAATGATGTTAAATTCTTGCCACTTAATTCACAATGAACAGCACCTCGTCATAAATCGTTCCCAAACCGAGTTTGTTGGTGAAATTGTGAAATAGCCATCAGTTCACATACATACGTGTATATATATATGTATACTATTATAAATTATTATATCATTAATTATATCTAATATTCCCGTTATACGCCAATGATATTCCACATCATTTCCATGATATGCAATTTTTTGATGGTTTAAACACCAAAGCTTGAGTTAGATACCAATAGAATTGGAATTCCCGACGAAAAATCAATGATCCATTTCGGGTTTCATTGTTTTCCACATCATTGGTTTAATCACAGAATAAAAGAACACATAATAACGTCATCTCTCTTCCAACCTCAAAAACCATCTGATTATAAACCTTAGACATCCTGATAGCACCTTTCCTTTTCCAACTCTTCGGCTCATTTCATCGTCATCAGACCATGACTCAGTATTGAAACCCATGGTGACAAGTCGAGACCCCCATGACTTCTCAGACCCCCCCCCTTTTTCGCCTCATTTCATTCACATTAAAATAGCCAGTTAATGGACGTTGATTCCCCCAGTCATATGGTAATTTCACAGGGTTTTCGAAAATTTCCTAATTTCTAACACTTTGCGAACTGGAAGCCATGGCCCATTTAGTTCGATTGTTTATCAAGCATGGTGATTTTCCAACTGTTTTTCCAGTTACTTTTCGTCTCATTTCATTTTAATTACCATGTAAACATAGGTGTTTTTTTCAACCATCAACATATGATTGTTTTTTTTGGTGGGTGTTATTGCTTTACTAGCATTCCCAGGATTTCCCAGGTGTTTTTTCCAACTTTTCCAGTTCATCCAAGATCAACTGAGGTCAAATTCCCGATTCTGCCTTCCGATATATCCAACTTGTGGGGTACTCTCTGATAATTGAACAATTTGCTATTGAAAATATAGTGACTCTTATATATATATATATATATATAGTTAACAATAATGGCCCATTTATATATTTTATGTATAGTTGACTTACCCATTAACATGGTGATTTTCCATGATTTTTAGCAAACTGAGAGTTTACCAGAGAGTAAACTGAGTCAAGCCATTTTCATCCAAGCATCCCATTGTTCACCACCTGGAAGGTCTTCTCCACCGTGGCGCCCACGCGCACGTCGCCCATGTCCAGCGCATTGCCGTCCTCCGGGAACTGCGGGAGCACGTCCACCACGAAGGCCTCCGCGGCGATGGCGATCTCCCCGGCCGCCTCCCATTTCCTGAGGAAAAACGGTGGGGAAAACTGGGATGATTTACCATGGATTTACCATGTACCAAGGGTTGATGATGGTTTTTCGGGGGAATTTTGGGAGACTTTCATGGGAGAATGGGAGAATGAACCTTAGGCCCACGAACTGCAGGGTTGGTTGAAATCACTTGGTGAAGTCTGTGGTTTATTGATGTTTATGGGAAACAAAAAACAGATGTAACTATACAAAAAAACATGGTTTCCCAGGGACCCTGAGGTCTTAGGAAATGGGAAAAGCCAAGCTCACATAATATGACATAACCAAGAAAATTGGTGATATTTCAGGGGGAAATTAATATATTTAATAGAATTGAACAATAAATGGGATTTGTCGGGAAAAAAAAGGGGTATCTACCAAGAGTTTATGGTGAATAATGCCGGATATTGCCGGATGTAATGGCATGTATCATGTGGCTCTGGATTTTAAAAAAAAACAAAACATGGGAAATTCTCCAAGACGTAGATGATTTGCCAATGTGGTCATGTTCCATCGCCGTGTTTAATATGAGGTCCGGAATTGAGGGGAATAAAAAATGATTTACCCAGCTACAGGCTACCCATTTCTTCAAATGCGTCGCACTTGGATGGCAATTGTGGGTGTCCAAAATTAGAAAAATTAGAAAACAGAGGGTGTATTCCGCATAGCTTCCAGACTTTCCAGACATGATGGATTGTCAAAATATGGCAAAATACTCCTTCCAGGGCCAAAAACAAATGAAAATCACGTTAAGCAAATTCCCAGGTGTCCCGAAGTTTTCCGTGTCCGAAATCTGCAGGAGCAACTTGAACTTGTGGGTACAAGCGGTGTCAGACTTGAAGACCACGTTGATGATCCGCTCTTCCGCCACACCCAGAACTCCTTCATGGACATGCTGTGGGTCAACACATCTCATAGTCTAAGAGTCTAAGGGGGCCCAAAAATATATGCTTAACATTAGCTGTTTGCTCAATTGTTGACCCCCAAGAACTGATGAACTTGGAACTTGGAACTTGGAACGGATTGGAACGGGGTAGAGTAATTAATTGCTCAGTCATGTTAGCCCTATTCCTGGAATATGGACCTTGACTATGTCAATGTGTTTCTCCTTGCTTCGCAATTTTTCACACGGGGTCTGAGACCCGAACCTTCCATGAAGTTGATGTCGAAGCCTTCCGGGACCGGAGGTGTTGCCTGCAAAATCACAACTTGGTCACTGGAAAGCCATGCAGGGGAAACTTTCTTGGGTTGTGAATCAACTTGTTCAAGAAAATGGACGTCTGTCTGCATGTTATACATGACACGCAAAAAACACATCAATAAATACAGCCCAAATAATTGCCCCTCCATGAATACCTCAGGATGTAAAGCGAAGAATACTATCTAGCGGTAGTAAAACAAGAATAAACCATAATAAACCACCCATATCTTGATGGTGTATACCAGCCATTTATAATGAGTTTGGGATGGTGGATCCTATAGCTTTACTAACATTACATATTATCCAGAGTGGCACCCTCCGGTAAACCAACTTGTAGCTATTGAAAATTGCCATGTATAGAAATTTAGAGTTGATTTGCCCATCAAAAATGGTGGTTTTCCATAGTTATGGGACAGTTTACCCGAGGATATCTGCATGACATCCATCTGCAGCTGCGCCTGAAACTGCCACTTCACTGGGATCGCAGTAACGTTCGAGACCTGAGCACCCATGACTCTGTGGATATTCAATGCATTTTTGAATATCGCATATGTCACACATAGATGTATAATATATCAAGAAAACATAGAAGATTAGAAAACACAAATCATTGAATTGAATAGAATCCAATCCTAAAATAGTGTGGTAACCTGGTATGTTTCATGATGTTCATTATTTCTGCCTTTTTTTGGGGGGGGCCGCGCACCGCGTGCACCTTGAAACTCTGCGAGGCCTTTTGCTTCACCAGGAGTCGGTCGAAGTCCAATTCGGTGACATCCACCGTGACCTCTCAGGTATTATGCGGGTTTTATGCGTATATAGAAATAGATATAGATATAGATAGATGTATAATAATTAATATCTGGTTGGTGGTATACCTACCCCTCTGAAAAATATGAGTTCGTCAGTTGGGATGATGACATTCCCAAAGATGGAAAAATAAAATTCATGTTCCAAACCACCAACCAGATATGATTATAGTAGGATTAAATGGGGATGGTTGCATGATGTTGCATGACATCCGCCATTTTTCCATGGTGTTTGCCAATTCTCGATAGGTTTCTGGTCATGTTTCATGTGTACCATGGCTATGTTCACCTTGGGCAGCGCTCCGATGGCCGCGAGCTGAAATTCCACTGGCTCCGGGTTGTCCGTAATGTTGGCCACAATGGTGTCGCTATAGGTACCTTCCTTGACCTGAAAAAAGGGAGCTGGGCAGCTGATTTGAAGGGTGGGATTGGGACGGTTCTGGTGGCTAAAAAATGCTAAAAACCGAAGCAGCGAGATCAAAACATGTTGGGTTTTGGCTCATGACCCCCCAAAATAGGGGAACAAAAACATCGGAAAAACACATCATTTGAAACCACCAACCCAGTAGAACCCAGTCAGCCCCATGTAAACATCAAGTTGAGGACTGGTCCAAGCGACTGGGAAGCAGGACACCGAAAGCTCCTTGGTTTCGCCCACCTCCAACTCCAACTGCTTAGGCTCGATGGTGAAAGGAAACTCCTGGGAGGTTCGAACTGAGGAAACCGAAGAGGACTGAAGTTCTGAGCTGTGAAAAAATCGACGTCAACCCATTTTAATACCATTGCTGCCGTCGTCGTAATCATCATCGTCATCATCATCATCATCACTATCATTACTATCATGTCTATCATGACTATCATTACTATCATATATGTGTGTGTGTGCGCATCCTTATTAGCATTGGATAGCATTAGACTTTATGATCATTGGGTTTGAGCCTCCAGTCTCATCAAACGTGGCAAATACGAAGGCCCCCCCCATTGGATCCATTGGAATCCATGGTTCCATGGCGAGTTCAGGGATTTCCGAGCTATGTCGCTATGCTTCAGCGGAGGAAAATCCAGAATGGGAATCATATCAACAACAAGATCAAGGGGAACACTATTATTATGGGACATCATATATTTCCCAGTACTAATAATCCTAATATTGGGATAATAATGTTATTATTGGGATAATTATTACTGGGAAATTTTATTCTGATAGTGGGACATAAGATATAGTCTCATTATAAACACATAATAATAAGTTATAGTAAGTAATGATAATAGGTATGTTCATGTGATACGAATGGGTGGGCAACTGTTTGAAGCTGGCAAGCGTCCTCGAGCGGGTTGGGTGCTGCAGCGTTCTTGCCTCCTGGTTTCCAGCTGGCCATGCTGATTCCAAGAGATCCCATTTGTCTTGGGGAAATCCTGGAAGAACTATATCCTCAATCTCAGGGGAAAAAACACTGGTTTACGGTTTTTACTGGAAGTTTCCAACTAACCTCACCCAGTGACAAGCTGTGAAATCAGCAAGGCTCTGCTATTCGCACGTGTCCAAGGTGCCCTTTCCCCTTTCCACCACGACCAGCCCTTTCCAACCGGAACGCCCAGCAGGACCAACCCAGGATTCTAGCGTTTCAAAGTCTGATTGGAAAGCTAGAGAGCCAACAACAACTTGGATTTGCTTGAGGAGCCCAAAAAAAAAGGTTTATGGTTTAAACATATCCACCAAAAGTTAGGTTCCCCATGTAGTGGATTTCCCAACAAACATCAACCGTCATCGACCAAATCCAGGACAAAAATCTTCAGAAATGGCTCCCTTAGCAGCCACCAGGGGCCCAGCCCGTCGGCCCGGCGGCACCTGGCTTTGCTTTGGGATCTTCAGGAACTTTCGCGGAGGCCAAGGAGAACGCGACATCGGCCTGGCTTTCAGGTGCAGCTGGCAGCTGGCAGCTTCGGCCCACTTGTTGAGACTGGCCAAATGTCTGGAAAAGGGGATCGAAAACCGGGAAAACGTAGGAAAACATTGGAAAACCTGATCGGCAAGACACCGCATCTTCCAGAAGCCAGACTTTCACAGATGTTCAGTGGTTTTATCCTAGGCCGTATCTCAACATGTTATAACCAGGTAGGAACTTCTGCCATAGCCAGTTGCCTTCAACATGGAATTGTTGGTGATGCGGAACTGTTCGATGTGCTGCTTCACAAACTGCTCCGACCTTGGTCCGAGATGACGGCTGGACGGTGGTCGCTGGTTCTGCATTGAATCAGCAGCAACTCTAATGCCATGGGTGCCATGCGAAGTAAGTGTGAGACTTTGTAGATCGTTATTGTAATTCTGGAAATCGAGGATACCCCAAAATCCACCAAATGGTATCACTTGCTACGAAAAACCAGACAACACCATGGACTGTTTTTGTGCCCCTTCTTATTTTCCACGCAAGTTCAGGCCCTGCCCCAAGTCTTCAACAAGGCACGCATCATCAGGAGCATCATTGGCACTGCGACCGGCCAAAAGAGGCCCAAAGTCAAAGACACCTGTGCTCTTGGCCTCCTACCTTCCAGATCCTTTACAGCACATATCAGCACATCATGGCTCACAAAATCCTTAAACCTGTTTTCATTGACCATCCAGTTGACGAATTTTAAGCGCTTTCAATACTAGTTTTCATTGATTTTGCCACTTGGGCGTCGCACTGCCAACCGGCAGCATCCCCAGGTCCCCCAGGTGTCCCCCAGGTGTCCCCCAGGTGTCCCAGGTCGCCTGTGGAGGCGATGTATTGCTTGCTGGCATAGCCACTGGCCGGTTTGGTCTTCACCCTTCGCATGAAGACGTTGCGTGGGTCACTGCTGATACCTGCGGATAAACACGGGAGTTCACCGAAAAACCCTGTGGCCATGTGGCCACCTTCATGTGGTCAGCTTCATGTGGTGGCAAGTTGTTTGGGGAGATTTTGTGGTTATAAGTGAAGGCGACCTAATATACATCATATACCTGGCGCACATCCCTAAAAAAATCTGGGATGTTCATAGAGAACCATAGAGAACTAGTGATAACTTCGTTCTCCATCACGGGGTGCCCTCCAAAACATTGGGAGCCTGGGAAGGTGGTGATTCCGGTGACGTCAATGGAGACGTGGGCGTTGTGCTTCGTGCCTGGAACCGTTCGCAACGCTTCGCAACGTGCCCAGTGCTTGCGGAGCTGAACTTACGCATTGAGAAGGATAGAAACAAAGGCATGAATAAAACGTGTGTATATATATATATATTATTTATATATATATATTACATAAATAGCAAGAAAAAATAATTAATAATGATAATGATAATATAATCACAATCATGGTCATAGTAATTAATAATGATAATTAATAAATTTAATAATACAGCCATGAATCAAACCATGAATCAAACCTGATCAACCACAAGCACATACAAGCACTATGTCACTATGTTTAACGTGCATTTGTGCCCATCTCTTGTCCACACCAGCTGTCGATGTGCCTCCAACGACTTCAAAGCCCAGTGAGGACTGGTAGTTGCCAATCTCCTGCATTTCTTGCAAAAGATCCCCAGAGTCGTTGGTCATACATTTTTGGACAAGGTGAACCCCCTCTCTCTAGTTTGAATCAAGTTGAAGTACTCAATTCCATGATATTCAATGGATTTGTCCAATTCGGAGTCGATCATCTCTACAGTCTAAATGTGCATCTTGAGGGATCCGCCTGATGCCTACTGGAATCCGCACTGCATCCGGACTGCTGTCCTCTGAAAAGAACTTCAGGAGCAAACGCACGCGCTCTTTGGGTTTGATCAGCCATCGGGTTGGCTGTTCCACTGGTTCCTGGGATTCTTCCATGGCAACCAGCATCGTGTAATATTTGAAGAACATCACCCAGTGCAGAGCTGAATTGCATTGAATTGCCTGGTCACAAAATCAGCAAAATGTGACCATATACTGACCATATTCTGACCATACTCCATCCTTCCCCAGCCTCCGTAGCCGGAGGTGGTGCCGTCTTGTCTGTCTTGTCCTGTGGTTTCTTGCTTTCAGTCCTGCACCACTGTTGCGTCCACCCGAATGAATGATCGCAGAAGTCTGTTAGGTATTTTTTGATTTAAAGAGTTCTCAGGATATCCAGTGGGGATACCAAATGATGCAGCAAACAAAATTCTTATCCATGCAGGTGTCGTCAGGCACCACATTGACTCTCAAAAACCGGCCCTGTGACCCGGGGTGTCTCCTCCCTCCACCAGTTGCAGCGGCAGCTGCGGCATCACCTGGAGAAGGGGATACCCTCTGGTGAGGCAATATCAACAAATCATATATTCGTGCGTAGCGGTGTAAAAAAGGTGAGTTCGCGACACAACAAAGATTGGATTGTCATCTGTGGAAAAAATTAAGGACTCCCAGTGTTGACAGGCATGTTGCAGTTTTGTTGGGATGCTCATTGGTGTCCATTGTTCACTACTGAAATGTGCCCATGGGGATGCCTTCCTCTGTTGCTTCTTCCGGCGGAGTTTGCAATTGGAAGTGCGTCACAGCCGGGCGCGGAAGGCGTAGCTGTGGACGTTCTACCACCTGGGGATTGTGGGCCGAGGAAGGTAGGCCCAAAGGGCCCAAAGGGGTCAGTGTAAGGGGGAAAATGATGGAAACTGCAATTTTAGTGGGGGGAAATTGCCACTCCAAAAACTACTTCTGACAGATTCTTGTAGATGCCACCACCATATGATCTATATGGTGAGCTCAAGGGAGAAGATCCTACTGGGAGTCCCGAATGATCTGAAGTCAAAACTGTGATCAAACTTTGACTTGGTGACCAGGGTTCAAAATGGAGGATGTAGAAAATATGATAAACATATATGTCAGCCTTTCTTGTTTCCAAATGCAGGGTTACCCTTACCCCCAACATATGGAATATGGCGATTTTAAATGTGGAGAATAATGATCCGGAACCGGAACCCACCCAAAAAAAAACACAAAAGTCGGCTTTTGTGGTATGGGAAATGTGCTTTTGTGGTATGAAAACATCCCATGAGCCATGAGCCAATCATGATTTCTCCATCAGAATCATCGTTGTTTCATCATTGTTTCCATGGTTTTAAACCATGTTTTTTCCATGGTCATTTTTGGAGGTGTCGCCAGCCGCCACTTTTAAGCACCTGTGCCAGGCTGGGAGGTGGAATTGGTGGTTCCTTGGGGATCAAGGGAGGCGGCCTCGGAACGAGGATGGCGCATCGAACTATGGCTGGACTGCAGATTTGGACCCCCAAAAATGGCCCATTGGTACACCCAAAAAATGAGAAACGTAGCACGGGGGTAAAACATGGTAAAGCACCATTCTGAAGGCGAAAATCTAGGAAAATCTAAACTATTCTAGGAACACCCATGCAAATTGGTGAGAAAATCCATGGTTTCCTGTAGATTTTCCCTTAAACCAATCCAATGATTGGTGCAAATCCATGGCTTCTCAATCCCAAGCTGAAAATTGAGGTGTCGACATGTACGTGGCACATGCCGCGCGGATGGTTGGGAAGTCGTCCGCAGGGTCGCAGGCCTCACCAAGTCCAGGCCTGATCCCTGATGAAACCTCTGCAGGAGCCTCAACTAAATTCAACTCAGGTTTCTGGCTTTTTAATGATGCTTATTCAGCTTACTCTTAAGGGAATGGGATGGGGTAAGTTAAGCTAGCACCTAGCAGGTGGGAAACTGAGGGTAGTGGATACACAGAGGTTGAACTGGCCGCAGGTTCTGAAGCATTGGAATCCCATGAAATTCAACACATCTTTGCTTTAAGAAGTGCCAAAAAAAAACTTAGCCGCGTCAGCAAAGAGATGGTACAAACCAACCAGCAAACACTCTTTGTTGATTTTCTTTTTAATCTTTTTCCCCAGCAGGGACTGCCATGCCATGCTGGTGGTGACCCAGTTGCACCTCAAAGGTTGTCTCTAGGGGTAAGGGCACGAACTGCACGGTGGCGGTTGGTTGTGGTTCCGGCTTGATGACCTTCTTCTTCTCCGGTGGTGTCTGAGTCTGTTCAGCTTCCTTAGTGGCTTGGTGGTAGCAGCCTGCAGGGCAGGGGATATGAGTGCAAAGATATCCACATGAGAATTGGCCAACTGATATTGACTGATACCATATGGATCCAAAAACGGCATGATCCAAGAGGAATAGCAATTGAACACAGTAGGGCCAAGTGACAGCCGGTGCTCCTGGGGACCAGGGGTACGGCACGCTGGAAGAAATTGGATTCACACAAAGAACAACATCTTGGAGTCACTGAGTAGTTTTTGGGAGACTCAGATACGGTCACGAACCTGACAAGAGCCATGCCTGACAAAGGTTTACCAACATCCTTGGGCGTTGGCCTAAGTTCAACCATTGTCTACCCGGCTCATGTTGCCTCCTGAAAAACCAAACCACGGAGAATGATGGCCATCTTGGGCTTCCAGCTCCTGAATTTCACAGGGGGTCCGCCCTGTCCGCCCTGTCCTGCTGCACCTTCGGTTTCAGCATCGGGTTGACCCTCCACACCGGCACCTGTCCAAGGAAAGACTTGGAAACCTAGAGGTCTTCACTTCCCAAACCCTTCCGACCTTTTCACAAAATTTTATGTTTCATGGTGTTTCATCATCCAGAATCAATAGTTTCCATCCCATTATGCCACTATTTTTTCGTGGTGAAATCCCTATTTTTCATACTTTGACCGGATATTTCTAGCTTGTTGATTCTATGCCCCACCAATATCCCATTGTATCTATGTATCTATGTATCTATGTATCTATGTATCTATCTATCTATCTATCTACCTATATATATATATATCTATCTATCTAACTATCTATCTATCTATCTATCTATCTCGAAATAACCAAAATTCCAACCCAATGATCTATGGAATATCCCATTGTCCTCTATAAGTGCATTGAACTTTTTATGGGCCATGGCTTCCAGTTCGCAAAGTGTTAAATTGCCGGATGTTAATAATGTGGTTTACCCAGTAGTAAGCCATCCCATTCACCAGCCATCAGAGGATGGTTATAAAGAACATCATCCCAGTGCTATGGCCATACCCAATTTCATGAACCTCAACATTGGGGGCCACATTCGTATTATCTGAGATTTTCAGCTAAAGGGACCATGATCATCTTCCACAGCAAAGCGTAAATTACCAGAGGCTAATATCCCTAATTTTGACTAGGTCAAGTATACCAGTGAGGTCAATGTAATTCATCTACTCAAGTAACTTAAGTATAGATTCTATAGATCCATGGAATACCCTCCGGTAATCAAACATGGCAATAAACAATCCCGCATTTACAGTTGATTTTCCCAGCTGGGGGATTTTCCAGCCACCGAGCTGATGGAGCTGATGACCTCAAAGGGGGTAACTTGTGCCATTGTTTACCCCATGAAATCCGAATATCACACGAAAAATCACTACAAAAAACCAAGCAAGCCCACAAAGTGTCACTAGATGTCACTAGACTAGTGACTATTTCCATCTTTCCATCTTTAATCTCCCCTTCCAAAACTCTGTTTTCCAGCCACCTTCTCCACTTTCATCCGTCTCCACTTTCGGCCGCTGCGACTCCAGCACTTGCGCGGCGGCGGACTCCAGGGCAGTCACGGTGTCGTGGAGCTGTTCCATGAGCGACTCCTCGGATCCCTGGCCACGGTGGCAATGGCCAGCAGTAACCAGCATTTTGAAGCAACATCTGATAGGGTTTGTTAAAGATAGAAGTGAACATAGAAATGGGAGTCATAGAAATGGGAGGTTTTTTGGATCCCAAGTTTTTTGAACATAATGGGAGTCATAGCTGGATTTTTGGGATCCCAAGTTTTTTGAACATAATGGGAGTCATAGCTGGATTTTTGGGATCCCAAGTTTTTTGAACATAATGGGAGTCATAGCTGGATTTTTGGGATCCCAAGTTTTTGGATGTTTTTGGAGCTTATGATGCATGTTTTATGGCTTGTAAACCCAGCAAAATCATCGCCTCGCTCTTCTCCAGCTGCTGCATGCTGCTGCGGCAGCGTTCCAATTGGCCTTCCAGCTCTTCGACCTTCGCCTCGAGTGCGCTCACGGATCCCTGTGTTGGACGCCTCTTAGCTGCAGGTTACCCTTTGGTTATTCAACAGTTTGCGAACTGGAAGCCATGGCCCATGTTTAGATGGTTCATGATGATTTAAACATCGTGATTTTCAATCGCTGCGTTAAAGTACCAGAAGAGATTATTTTAATTATCAAACCATATTAAAACAACACATATGATATCCCTCCCAACATTTTTCTTGGATATTTGGGAGGCTTGTCACCTGATCATTGCGAAGTGTAATTTGATGTTGAAATCCAGCAAGGAAAGATTGAATCTTTGTCGGTGTGTCTCCTCTTCGTCACAGTGAATATCGGTGAATCTTCCTGTTTTCGCAGCTACATCATCTCAAAAAGGCCATGGCAGCAGATGGAGGTGTCAAGAAATGGGGCTGCCCAAAAAATCATCCAAGTCATCAGACCATGACTTAGTATTGAAACCTATGGTGACTTGGGGGTACTTCATTTAGGAAACCACCACGTCCATTCTAAGAACATTATCATCCCATTCTGATATTCCATGATATTCCCATGGTTATATTCCCATGTATTATTCCCATTCTTAGTGAATTATCTCAAAACAATTGGAACTATACATCAATAACCATTACTAACAATGGTGTCATGATCATATTATCATATATATTATCATATAACCAGTATACACAACTATAATGATTCACCAAAAATAATGCTAATCTGCTAATTCCCATTCTGCGTGAATGATCTCAACATCACATAACTTTCATGATGAAACACGGTGGACATGTCCCGGAACAGTCCCCTGCCTTGGCCGATTTGGCGTTCTGCTCCGCTGCCTTCAGGCTCTCCCGCAGAAGTGCTTCCTCTGCAGCTTCAGGGTCATCCAAAGTGGCGGCGCCTGAACCCAGGGGATGGAGGATTTTGGTGGGAAAACCTAGGGGATAACTAGGGTTTAATGGTGATTATAAGGTGATTTAAACTATAATAACTTTAAAAAAATAACTATCAATACTACTAACTACTAGTTAATTAAATTGTTGTTGAGTAGGGACAAAAACAGAACATCCATCATTTTTGTTGGGGGAAGCTGGTTTTCAAGATAGCTGCGGGAAATGGCGAATGGATGGCACTGTTTGGTGGTGAATCACATGCTGAAACCCACGGTTCCAAAACCCGCAGGCCAGGGGTTGTTCGTATGGGCATAATTATGGGATTTCAACCCCCATAAGTTAGGATATGGGGCCCCTACAACTATGATGAAATTATATATATATGTACCTAATTACTTACTGCACCCCCAAAGTAGTATTCAATTGCCATTTCAAATGCCTAAATTTTGGAGGTAGCATTTTCTTAGACCTATGTAAGGGCTATGTAAGGGGATATGCCCCAAAAAAGGCGGCTAATATCCCCATAAAATACCCTCTGGTAAACTAACATAACTATGGAAAATCACCATGTTTAATGGGTAAACCGGTAAACCCACTATAAATCACCATTTTCAATAGCTATGTGAACAAATTACCAAAGGGTATCCCGATGATTCCCGATGTATCCCCATATGACTGGTGGACCAAGCGATCCAAGCGGCTCTCCACCAAGATCTCGGCTGTTTCCTCTGTGGCCTCAGCCGCGGCCTCCGCACCTGCAGTTTTTCTCGGCATCGACGGGGGGACGGGGGACAAGGTTTGAAAAAACAAGTAGATGGATTTAGATGAATGGCCTTAGATAGTGTTATATAATTTATATATATTTATATATAATACTTGGTTGCTTCTTTTAAGGCTCAGAAAACTGACCTTCCCCTTCCACCAACATTGTGCACATGGGATCTTCACCCAAAAATTGTCAGTCTTTGCACATCTTTGATCTTGCAGGGCTGTACAAGATACCACAAGATTGGGAGTCATCCTTCCAATATCGTCCAATAAATAATATTAGTAATATCTTCCAATAAATAATCATAAGTAATCATAAAAATAATCCAGGTTTAGTACTCCGGGCTTGACATTTTTTGCTTCCCATCAGCACCTGCCGCTGCGGTTTCTTCGGCCCTCTTTTGCTTGCGCTCCTCCAACTCTTGAAGCTTCGTGGTGACCCTCAGTTGGTTGAGATCCATCGCCACCTTGTGATGTTCTTGTTAGAGATATGACAAGTTTGATGACCAAATATGGGTGCCATCTGGTAATTTGTTACATAGCTATAGCAGCTATTGAACATGACCATTTATAGTTGATTTATCATGATTTATCATGATTTATCTATGAACAGTGGGGATCCTTCCTAGCTATGTTAGTTTACCAGAGGGTAGATATGATATAGTAATCCAAAATTCACTCATCTTTGGAGCCTTCGTTCGTTTGACTGCCTACATATTGCCACGGCAAGACTCTAAAGTGGATGTGTCCAACAAATGACACACTTCCAACCTCCACCAAAACTTGCTGATGTAGTGGAGCGACATCTGGCAACTGTCGCAAGGAAAGCAACTCCCTTTGTGAGGATGAATGGTACCCATATATCCCCTGTTATGCCCTCAAACCTTCAACACCCAGACTTGGTTGATAAAGAAACATCCACAGGAAACCCCAACAAGATTCGGATGAGATGCGAAAACCCATGGTTTCAACGTGTTTCAACCGCATCTTTTCCAATATATTCTCCCAATCCATTGATTTTTGGTGCTTAGTTCCAGGGTGTTTCAGGTGGTCGCAGGTCTGTCCCAAGAAGCTCTTTGAGTTCAGCTTCTGCCGCATGAAGGGCTTCCTGCAGAGGCACCAGTTGGGCCTCCAGTCTTTCCGGGCGGTCTTGACTGGCGACCTGCGGCTCCCAAAATCACCGGCACCCACCTTTTTCGGAGATTTTCGGAATGTGTTTTCTTTGGGATAGGAATCTGTAAAAGAAGGGAGACAGCGATTTCCCAAACTCAGACATCGAAGTGTTTCAAGGAGTTCACCATGATTATCATGATTTTAAACCAAAAAAACATCTCGGATAATTTTGAAAAGTAGTGTTTCTTGAAGCGTCAATGTTGAAGCCAGAAAATGGGAGAAATGGTCAAGTTCGACAGCTGGGAAATCTAGGAAATCCCCGAAACTAAATGGAGCTTTTTAGCTGGGAAGATCATCTATGGATTATTTTCCATGCCAGATTGGAGGGTTACCGGGTACCCTTGCCGAACATGATGAAAATCTGTTGGCTTAGATCTCCAAATCCGACCATCCTGCTGTCGCCACAAGAAATCATGGAGGGTACCACCTGGTCAACACAGGTTCCACACCTGGGCACAAACCTTGGGTTCGATCCATGAACCCAGGTGATTCAACACGGAAAATCACCAGTTTCAATGAGGTAAATCGAACTCCATGGATCTCAATGGATCATAACATATTTAACCAGAGGGCAAATTACCATTTTTGAATAGGTAACATTAGGTAACAAAAGGTAACATTAGGGAACTGATCATTCAATCATTCAAAAAATCCACAGTCGCCGGTGCATCCCAGGTCTTCCCCGCCTTCAGGGCGCTGTAGTAGGCCCGCAGCTTCCCCACTTCGTCGTTCGCTTCCAACTCCTCCGGCGGTGGCTTTGCTACGGCACCTTCTCCGAACATGGCAGCGTCACCATAGGCATCGCATCCCATGGCCAGCACGGTCACACGCTGGGGCCATAGGGCGGTGAAGATTGCTGTCCTTGGCGCAGATTTGGCGTTCTTAGATGTTCTTAGGCACCAAACATGGGAGGTTTGTTCCATAGAAAATGGATGAACTGGCGGCAAATATTTGGCCTGGGGTCCCAATAGAGGATCCTAGAGGTAACCAGCCTGAACCCATGTGGAAGAACACCATGAAGTAACCCAAATGTCAATTTCACCCAAACATACCCAAACCACCCAATGGAATGGATCACTGGATGCTGCTGCTTGCAACATCTTGCAACCAGGCAACGCTGTCTGCTCGATCGATGGCAAATACTTGGAAGAGAGGCCATCGAAGACCAGGCAAGCGTTGCAATCGGGCAACCTCAATTCGTCATGGGGACCACATGAGCAAAGTAGCAAGGTGGTTTCAAAACCAAGTCTACCACAACAGGCGGCCTGTGGCATGGACCAATTTGGTCTGCTTGTCAGGGCACTTTGAGCAGTTCAACGACAAATGTTAGCATCTTTTGGACTAATGTGACTAACCTTGTTTCATTTCCAAATACAGCCTATAATTTCCAACCACCAGCGGCAATGTTTGAGCTACAAAAAGAGCCAAGTTGCAACATGCGAGCCTTCAGAAAATGCACCACATCCTCCATAGGCAGCGCATACTTCACAGGAAGGGGTACGAACCTCAGAAATTTGGCCCAACTGGAAAGCGCTGGAAAAAAAAACGCCCCAAGTTCCGAAAAAAAAAAGGCTGTGGATGACCAAACTTGGCTGTATACCGGAAAGAAATGGCAGTGAAAACATGTGGTTCAACAACCAAGTTTTGGACATGTCACCCTGTTGAACCTGTCACCAAAATGTGATATAACAATTTTTGAAAAAAGAGATTCAGAACGAATCACAAACAGCTATATAATCTGCGGAGTATCAAGCAAGGCATTTTCAAAAAAAGTCGAGGAACTGCTCTTTGGCTTTTGTGGCAGCTTTCTCGCGGTCCTGGTCGATGGAGACTGGGGACTTGGGGGGGATTGGAACTGCTTAAGGGCCACCTAGTAAATGGGTTATACCCCCAATTATATATGGAAAATCCCCACTTATATATGGGATTAGATGATTAGATGGGATTAAATGTGATTATATGGGATTATATGGGTTATGTATGGTCAGTAAGTGGGATGCACATCCAAGTGCTCTATCCTATTGATCAACCTACCAGGCTACCATGCCTACCACACCTGTCATGCATACCCATCTGACTATCTGAATCGAATCCAATAAATCCAATCTACTCCACATATTCTCCAGAATGCCGAATGACCTATCTTCTCCAGCATAGTAGTGATATGTAGTGATGCTCTACAATTAAACCATATTAAACCAGGGTTGAAATGAGTCATTCAGATTGTCCCGATTACCTATGATTATCTCGGATGGTTTCAGATTGTCTATGCATCCATTGATCTGTACACCTTTCCATCAGCGTCTCAAAAGGAATGATCTTCTTGCTGCAACCATGGCCGCAGCACGCCGCAGCTACCGACCGGGTCCTTCTCTGATTGTTCGTGTTCCTCATCTGTGGTGGTCATCCTTGGATCGCAAATTGCAGTGCCAGGTCTGGCGCCATGAGAATTGGAGAAGCTGGAAATTTGAGGATGTCAATGGATGCCACCTACTGTACATCCAACTGATATTTTATGGGCCATTTGATGATATATTAAGGGTGTATATGACTTACCCAACTGAATTTTGGCTATTTTATGGGTGTATATGACTTACCCAACTGATATATGAAATTTCCAGCTCGCAAAACTCTTAAAAATTACCGCAGGGTATATCCCCCAGATCCATTTGAGGACAGGAATAGCATGGAAGTTCGCAACCTCCAAAAAGATGCGGGTTCAGAGTGTGCCACCAGGATGTTCGTTCGATGATGTTTTCCTCCATCATTTCCACGTTTCCAACTTTTTCGACAGCTATGGCAGCTATGTATTATCGATTCCACTTTTGAGGGTGGTGTTGTCAATCATCCAGATGCGTGAATTGCCCAAAATGACATGATCATCGCAAACGTGGTGTGGTGAATGTTTGGTGGACGTACAGTACACCCAAAAAATAGCCCATCAAAATATCTCATGAAAATTTCATATTATTCCTTCATTTAAAGATCCATGAATCCACGTTTTCCACCTTCATTTAAAGATCCTTTACTTCATCCACGATTCAGAAAACACCATGATACCAGTGACTCACCAGTGACTTTCAAACATCCCAAGATATCCCAAGTGGTCCCTGCGCCATCCTTATTCCGAGCATCAACCTCCGAAGTCTCTCGCGTCTGGTTTCCTCTTCAGGTCCGTGGAGTGAGGGTGGGCCTTGCGCCAAGCTTTTTGCTTCTGCTGGCATCCATTTCTTTAGGATTTCTTCGGAAAATTGGAGATGATTATGATGATTTTTTGCATCTCTCTCCATCGCCACCTGATTTGGTATGCATTTGATATGAATGGTCTCCTTTTTTGATCCTTTCTCTTTCAGTTTGGGCATGACGCCTCGCTGGGAATTTTTTCGGAAGCCACCTTTATCCCCCGGGCCTGATAGAGCCCAATCCACCACTTCATCCTGAGAGAAAAACCGGTGAAACAATGGGGGCCCCCCAGTCGTCCCCGGAGACGCGGCCAACATCTCCAGATTCATTGAAGGTAGAGGAAAGAAGGAGGACTATATTAGCGAAGGCCGCATAAAAAAGGGCAAACAGCTACAAAATGATCTGATGTGGCCAGATTCCTTGATATATCCAATCAAACTCCTTAAGTTACTTACTATTCATTCATATTCATTCACATTCATTCTGTATCCCTCATTACTTATCTGCCTACACCCCTTATCTTTCTGCGCTGCATATGCTGATCTCTATCCATGATAACCATCATCTTGACAGCTTCGTAAAAGTGCATTGGATGATCAAAAATAGCTTGCATATTCTTACGCAATCGTATACACACTTCATATAGTTTTCACATGTTTTAACTTAGTGACTTAGTTCACTCAATTCAACTCCAAAAAAAAAAACGCATGAATTTACCATCAGTTTTCGACCATCAGTTACCATTCTGCCGCAGCTTCACCAAAGAAAAATCGCCGAGGCACCAGCGACGTGACCTTCCGCCCCTGCGTCGACAGGTGCCGCGCCAAGGTCGTTTTGCCACAGACCGAGGGGCCGATGATCAGGGCGTGCAAGCGGTCCTGGAAAGCGCCGGGAAATGCCGGGGAAAATTGCTGGGTGAGGCTTAAGTTTCTCGGAAAATGGATGAAAGAGAAACTTTTGGAGGGTTAACTGATTCAATATGATTCACTATGTTATATATGTTTATTCATGTCCGTGACTCAATCAATGCGATTGTGCAGGTTTATGAGGCAAAAAAAACATTTCGGATGGCTCTTTGAGACAATTTCCGGGTAGTTTTCTGCTAACCGACTTCCATCATGTGTGTGATGACTTGTCTTCTGGGTGAGTGACAAATATCATGATCAACCCTTCAAAAGTGGATTGGTTATATGAACTTTCTCAGCTAACATTTCTGCTTGTTCCAGACAGGTCCCGAGTGTGAACCAAGAAGGCAAAAACACAACATCCTCTAGGACTTGACAGCTGGCGGTTGCCAAAGTTGGCGCCCATCTTGGGATACTTTCCCACCATATTCCCATGATTTTATCCCCATAATGTGGTTTAAAACAATAGAAAACAATAGTAAACCCTCCATCTTTGGATGGTATTTGCATGTTTATACCACCCATAAAAATGGTGAATTTGATTTATACATATATTGTTGTTTAAACATGTTTAAACCACATGTTTGTTGTTTTTCAGAAGTCTCCCAGTTCTCCAAAATCTTCCATCATTGCCTCAGCCGCGCCTCATCCACTACTCGGTAGGGGAAGTCTTTGGGATCCATCTCTGGTTGCGGCTCCTAGGTCTGCATGGGACCCGGTGGGGCCAGTCGCGTGCTTCTGAAGGTGGAAAATGACCAAAAAGACATGGTTTTCTATACTAGAAATGGTCTAAGTTTGGATGATTTGGAGTTTTTTGAAGCCACAACTTGAGTACCACCCATATTAAAATTGTTAAATATCCACAATTTGAAGCCATAACTCAACCGACACCTCAACACCTCAAGTGACATGCTGCAGAATGCACACCTCGTCCACTTCTCCAACTTCCTCCACTGACTCCTGAAGGGGCAAAATGGGCAAAGTGAGTTTCTCAACTATGACACTCCACAACGGAAAACCCATGGAAAACCACCCTTAAGAATTTAGTTTCAAGTGTTGAATTTGTTGCTTCTCTCGTCGAATTCCGTGGTCTCAAAAAGCCACGTGAAGGAAAGGGGCATCAAATCACCCCACGTCCATCGGAGAAAAAAAACGCCAAAATGTCCTCCCAGATGCTGGCCACACAAAAATCATTCACCAGGTCCTAACATTCACCAATTATTCACCAACCATTCACCAATTATTCACCAATTATCCACCACTTTATACCCATCAGATCCCATCAGCCCTTCCAGCCCTTTCCAGGCCGCAGCTTCCACTCGCCTCCCCAATGGGCTCTTCCTCTGGCATGGCATCTATCTCCGCCACCGCTGCCTCGGCGTCCTGTAGCTCCTGATTCGCCTTCCTGGGACCCAGGGTTCGTCCCACTTGGACTTAGGAAGCGCAGTTTTTGACCCCAGATTTTTCACATTTCAAAGGGTTTACCCTCTGGTAAACTAACATAACTATGGAAAATCACCATTTTCAATGGGAAAATCCACTATAAATGGCAATTTTCAATAGCTATGTTAAATTACCAGAGGGTAAAGGAACTAACTGGGCCTAACTGGATCCATCACTTTCATGTGGCTTGGAAACTGAATTCGTAAAGCTCCGAACCGCTTCAGATTTTTGGTTGGGAATGTGGCTGAATATGGATACCCCTAGGTAGTCATTCCACTACCTATTTTTAGATTGATTTAATTTACGCAAATTCAAAGGGAATATACCTTGTACAGGCACTAAGGCAAAGAAGTGCGTTCCTCGCTGGCAAAATTACATTGAAGAAAACGAAGCCTGAAGAACAACAAAACGACCATTATAATGTACCTCCCCCACATATGCATTGCGACCAAAATTCAACAGCCAAGTGGGTTATAAGTTATAATAATCCAGTTGGCACTTTCCACATTTTCCCTAGAATCCCCAATATGGTCGACCCAAGGCCCGAGGCTTTGGAGATTTCCACCGAGCAGCTCTGGGACTTCAGGATCCTCCGAAGATGCAGCCAGTTCCACCTGTTTCTTGGCCGCCTCCACTCGTTCCACAGCCTGCTCTCTGGCTTGGATCTTCTGCTGCTCCTGCCGTCTCCCAGCATTTCCAACACCGAGAAGGGCCCCAAAGACAGCTTTCGATCCATCAAATTACCATCAAAATCATCATCAATGGGCTGTAAATTCCTCGCAAACGTTTTCATTCATATGTTTTCTAAATTTTAGTTTTTCCATCCCCCAGCCATTCCCCAATCCCCGGGTCCCTCATTTCGCGCTCGCGAATCATCTCCAATCGCTTCACCCTGCGGCCGTGCTTCGCCACATGGGGCCAGGTCAGTGCTCCCGGCGGCCGCAACGGCAGCTCCATGCGGTCGTTCTGGTACCTGGTGGGCTGGCCTGGGGGTAGCCTACACTTGGAGAAGGTTCAGAAAAGTTGG